TGAAGAAGATTGGAACTCGGATAGCGAGCCCGTGAAACCGAAGTCGGTGGTTTATTATTGAATTTATATCGGCGAATGCTCAACATTAACAATTTCTAGCATGCGTCCTCGTGGGGGAGTAAAACAGCCAGTATCCGGTGGTGGTGGATCTAAAAAATGAGGTCGGAGACAAGACAGAATTACATTCTCGAGAAATAATCCTTACGCTAGTTATTGGTATTTTGTTTGGAGTCATATAAGTAAATCTATGTACGTAGTTTATGAACGTTCGTTATCGATTCACATAGACGAGCCCCAGTCGCGTTCGCCTTGCGTGCTGAAACTACTAAGGGCCAATCAAGCAACGACGAACGAGTCAAAGCGACGTATCACCAACACTTAGACGGATTAAAATTTCGTTACTGAAACTTTGCTTGATACATGTACATCGGTGGATATTGTTTACTGGAGACAGTTTAGAAAGATAAAGATCACGTAGATGGTTGAGAAGCATAACCCGGTGGTCGCGAGGGAGAGTTGTGCTTGAGTTTCAAAAGTGAGTAGGACATATAACTTGGACTAAGAAAAACTTACTCCGTGACTCCCCCAAACGGTGTGTGAAGGAGGAGGCATAGAACCATGAGCAGACTGGTGAATCGGATACGCGCTATTCGCTACGCCGGAATGTAATTGAGAAGAGGCAGATGGTGGTGGCCCAGCTATACAGGATTGTGTTTTGAGGGTTTGACCTGCAGTAAAGAAATAGAAGATGCGTACCTGGATGAGTGTGATATGTATTGGGAGGGCTCAGGACCACAAACGTACCACCTACGGGGTGACCATGGCCAGATTGAATTCCCCTCTCTTCGTTCATGTACATGTCTGGAGCCTGTTGTCCTCCATGCGCACGAGCCTGTACTGCGACTGCAGCAAGGAGCGAATTTGTTGTTCCGCTGCTCGCAGATACCGGACCAGACGAACTAGAAGCGGTCGTTCTGAGAAGACGCGGGGGTTGGGGAGGCGGACTTAATAGTCCGTTGGCAGCATGAGAGTTGCCGGCTGATGGTGGATGAGCACCTTCGTTGGGGACAGGCACACCATCTGGATAAAATGGATAGAAAAGACTGTGAGGTAGTTCCATCATGTGCGTTGGAAGGCCAGAAGACTGCATCCCATTACCTCGCGTTGAAGTAGTGGAAGGGGGAACATTCTGAGTAGAGGAAGTGGTAGATTTTAGTGAAGGTTTATCGCCCGTTCCATTGACAGGCTGGGGACCGAAGACTGGTGGATTGTATGTATACTGAGGATGTGAATACGAATTGCTAGTGTGCGTCGGGCTCGCCGTGGGTATCGGAGGAGGATAGGTGTACGATGGCACTCCCGAGGGAGCATTAGCAGACGACGAAGGATATGATGGTGGCGGATACGCAGCCTGCAAAGTAGGTGTAGTTTGCTGACTCTTAGGGCTTGCAGCATTCTCAGCCCAGGTATGTTCCCATGTTCCAGTCGACGACACCGGAGTGTTACCTGCTTTTTTGTCCCGATTTGGACTTGCTCCTTCTTCCACCCACTCCAGTTCTGGTATCAGCACTGGTTGACCAACTGGTCCTTGTCGGCCGATGCCTGCGATCATTCGACTTTCCCCACGTTGAACACGTTCAGTGGCAGTATTAGAACCGCGCTTGTCTAATTCATCTGGTACCCCGATCCCACGTAATCCGGTTTCAGGGAAGGAGGATTCCATCACTTCTTCTGCCAGTTTGGCAATGAGCGGATTCGTTCCTCCATTAGATCCACTTCCTGTCTCCCAACGCCAGCGGAATCGTGGAAGCATGTCCAAAGCCAGCCAGACATCCTCCATCAGTATCCTTACCGCGCTACTCCTCCCGTCTTCACGATCACTTCCTTCTCCATCACTGAGCCCAGGTATTCCGTGGTCACATTCGCTCATCCTGCCGTATAGGATAACCATGGCAGCAATGTGCAATGGTACCGGACTGGTGAAAAACCCTACTTCGGGATAGCGCACGAGCACAGTATGTATCGCAATGACATTGTGGGCCTGTACAATGGCATCAACTAGCGCCTTTTTTCGTTCTGTGTATCCTAATTCTTTGGAACTAAACAGTGCACGAAGAAGAAGGATGCGTGAGATGGCAAGTTTGAGAAGGGTCAATCCAGTGGATTCATCGAGACCGGCTAACAGAGAATGACGTTCACTAATGGACCAAGCAGCGGTACCAGTAAAATAATTTTTGTATGCCGATGGGAGGGAGCGGCGGAAAAGGTTGATCGACTTGATAATACGGTTAGCGTTACGGAGAAGAGTTTCGCCGGATTGTCTTGTGGGACTGTACAGTGATATTATGATATCAGCTTGGATATCTGCGATTGGAGCCGAAAGCACGAAGTGTTCGGATATGTGATCATTCATAGGCTGTTTGACGTTGGGTCCTGCGAAAACAGTATCACCAGACCGATTGAGAGGTCTAGGAGTGTTTGAATCGCTGGGAGCAATAGCCAAAGGTCTACCCAAAAGAATGCTTGTTCCTCGGTCATGTACCAGGACTATAGACCAAAGCCGAATTCGAAGAGTGCATTCCAGTGGTGTGAATGTGGGAACGTCTTCGTACGCCGGTTCACTATTATCTGTGCCAGTAGGTGATGAGGAAAGGGGTTTGGTTTTGGGCATGGATTGTGTCGTTGGATCATGGTGTAAACCCAATTCAATAGCTAAACGCACAATGGAGCCTACAAGCCGCCAGAGAGTGCGACCTTGACGCTGAAAGCCGCCATTAGCACATTCCGACAAAGTACATTAATTGAACTTTACCTCCGCATAGAGATACCAATGTAGCAAAATCAATGCTTGGAGACTGCTAAGCGTTACACGAAGCTCAGGCTTTACCGCCAAAGCACGATCGAAGAATTCGTCGTGTGCCGGCCAATCAGGTGGTAGGCGTGAGCCTCCCGCATCCGGAGCAATAGTAGCAGACTTCGCCGCTCTCTTTCCTCTCGTCGATCGTGAGGAAGGACCGTCCTCGTTTATATGGTCGGCGGAACTATCGTTGGTTGAAACTTCACCCTGATAACCACTCCTGTTGAGCTCACTGAGAGTTCCGAGCGCAAGCACTAGATAGAGTGAGCATATGAAGCCAGGATCAAAAACAGGTCTCGACGTAGCTCCTTCATCATAGAGCTGATCAAGGGACTCCAGAAACTGATGCCGGAAGAACACCGGACGATGAGGATTCAGACGAACAAAATAGACATGGACGATGTCGAGAAGCGTATTGCGGTCGTTAGGGATCCAGATATCCATGGATGGAGAGGAAGAAAAATGCTGAGAACGAAAGACAGAAACGACACGCCATTTGGCAGTATCCCTAGGAGCAGGCATTTCAAGTTGGACGATACGGTCACGACCCGAGTCCAAACCTGAAGAGCCTACTGCTAAATCTTCTTCCGCCATACGTGCAGGAGCAGAGGAGGGAGGCGCATTATATATAACTGTAGGTGGAGGGTAGTGGTATAACGTAGCTGGCGAAGCAGAAGCATCCTTAACAATGTGTGGAGCAACGCCGAATGATTTGGCAAGCGCATGAGTTGATGACATATCGTTTGATTTGGGATCCTGACCGGGTATATTAGCGGTAGATTGGGCCGGAGGCGCAGAAAGAGGAGACATCTGGAACGGAGGAGGGGCAGGATAGACGTATGGAGGATACTGGTAATACCCAACGCCTGGAGGAGGCGGATGAGCGAAATAACCGGGCGGAGGTGGCGGCGGAACCGGATTCATCACCGGAGCTGGCTGAGAACTCCTGCTGCTGTTGCTGCTGCTGTTCTGGCTAGGAAGAGTCTGTATTGGCTGGAGGACAGAAACATCTATTCCTTCTCTGGCACAGAGATCATCGATAGTCTGTAGACTAAAATTTTGTATGTGGCGCCTGAGTAGGGCATCACACTGAGAAACGATTTGTTCTAAACGTTCAGTATGATCCCTAGCAATAGTTGTCTGTCTGTGGCGGTCTTCCTGGTTACAGGAAACACCAGCAGTGACACAGGCGGTACATCGTGGATGCTTAGAGTCGCACTGTCAAAAAGGCTATAAGCGATATAGCTCGGGCATTGCCGGCGACGGATGCGCCCGTGTTGTGAAATTATTCCTTCGCAAATTCCCGATTTTTTAATGTTCAAAGTAAACTCTTACCTTGATCTTCTTTCCTCTGCATCTTGTACAGGCCTCATGCGATCTTCTCAATCTTCGTGGCTCGCTGGGTTCTCCATCGTTCTTTCTTCGTCGTTTCGCTACAGGTCCATTTGCCGGAGGTCCACTGCTGCCTTCTATCGGTTCCATCATAAGGGTGCCACCGTGGTCGTCCATAGGTAAGAATTCGTTTGTTAGAATGAAATGAAAGTTATCGATTACAATGTCTTTTTGCTCATTACAGGTGGTATGTGATCGGAGTTTCAAAAATTACCAATCACCTAAGGCTGCAGCAAATCCAGCGCTGAGTATTCACGCCTTCTATCTCCTCTTCCTCTCACCACTCGCTATTCGGAATGACGGTCCAGCTGATATGGTTTATTTTCAATCCAATGTTCTCCTTCAAGTCACGGAAACTCGGCTCGAAAGTGACCAGCTGATTTCTGTAGTGCATTTTGGTCGTTTGTCAATACGCCGTACACTGAATTGCCTACAGGAATACTGCTTTCGCCGACCCATCATTGCGAAGATCATCCAATATATTCTCCTCGCCATATACCTTACGGCGCTGCATTCAATCTGTCCGTTTCCATTTGGTTCTAAAGGTGCTAGTGGCAATTAAACTAAGATTAAACTCCATTCAAAATACATAATTTTTGTTTCTATCCGAAATCCGTGCCTCCTGTCTGGGAGCTCCGACACTTCGACGGTAAGTATGTGGAGGAGTTATGTGCAAACAGGTAACTCGGAACCCTTCGAGGCCACAACAGAAAAAAGAAAGCTCATCACTATATAAACCAGCATGTACTATTTGGGGTACCGCGGATCGATCGCGGGACCTTCAGAAAGACATAGAACTCCTCTTCAGTCTGCTGCTCTCCCGGCTGAGCTATACCCCCATCAATTGTTTCAATCTTTTGACAGATCCAGCGCAGGGTTATTGCAATTATTTTCTCAAAGGTTCAGATCAAAATCAATATGTATGCCATTGAACAAGACCTCATTGCAATTTGCATTTCCCCCAGGTGTTATTCAGGAAAGTACCCCAAAAGGTCAAGAGCATAATTTTGTAATAAATCCTGAACTGGTTTATTTATCCTGTACCTAATTCCAAATACCATACTCCAAGTAAATCTAGCAAGAGACTCTCATGTCAGTATCCCATCTGATGTAGAATTCCAGCAGGACAAAGATCTTTGTTCCTTTTCAATGTTTTCGGATGGGTCAACAACCAGGTATAGCTTACTCCAGATCAATCCTTTGTGAATATGACTGAAGAAAAATGCTCCTGATGAATGATCTCGCAGCCAACGAAATTTTGTCTAGGATGCAAAATCGTATTTGTAATTGATTCCATCCCTATCTAATGGTATAAGTATGCATGTAGTGGACTTTGATGAACCCATTCCCGCGGACGCGATGTAGCCTGGGGTATGTGACTACTGTTCATCACCTTCTTATCTTGACAAGGCTCTTGGTCCTGGGTCCCATGGCAAATTCTCACTTCAATTACATCCTTCTCAACCCCTAACCCCTCACTTACTCCTTGAATCCCAAAGTATGTTCGGCATAGATGCTTGGAGAGAAAAAAGATATAAAGGTACCCGTCCCGCCGATGATGTTGTAATCGCGACCTTAGAAGAGTGTGTGTTACGACATTGAGAACTACTGAGTATTTTTTAAAGGTAGCTGTTCTTGATTGATAAATGTCTGGCACATTTCCTACAATAGCAGTTCGCAGATGAGCCGAATTCAACGGATTCTTGCTTTTCTGCGCACCTTTTAACTAAAGCTGCATTCAAGGGCTGTTCCACCCGCTATCCAGAATGTCACCAAGGTCACTGTTTCTCTCACCCTTCGCGAGTCAAGATACAGGACCTCGAGGTACGTCAAATCATCATTGCATCCGCATTTACGCCGACCGATCTCCCTACCTCCTAATTTGTAGCCTTGCACCTTTTATACACAGAAATATTGCTCAGGATTAAAAGCGCCCTTCCTTGTTAATCTGTGCAAAGAAGATCAAAGCCGTTGAAATATTTGGAGATGGAAAGTTTGCCCTGGATCACAAAGAAAGTATTTCTCCAGATGCAAACACGGGTCTGCGGTTCGCGAGGATATGAGCGACCCGCAAGTAAAAGCTTACTCTCAAATCGAAAGCAGAGTGGATGAAGAAATACGTGTGACGGTCTTGGGCCATACGTAGTATTTAATCGCCTTTTATTCCTCCAGACTTCTTTCAATTTTATGTATCATCTACTTTGGATTCATTCTCAAACCTCCCCGATGCGTTACTCGGAGAATAAATACTCTTCTTATCATAGTTACATGGAATGTTCATGAATACATATACCAACATCTCAAAAGCCCTTAGAATCTAAAAAAACGAGATCTCCTACCAATTGAAGTCTCCGTAACATTGACGTCGGCTGTGGCATTCGTAGCGTTGCTTGAGGGTCGGAAGACGGCCGCACTGACGCTCAATGAAGATGCTGTAATGCTAGCCTGGGTCGCTGACGCTGATACCAATGGCCGGCTGTGAACGCTAGTACTACTCGCTGTCGCTATGACGGTGGCGGAGGCAACGCTAGAGTCAACAGCAGGGCCAGATACCGGGGCAGATGACGCCACAGATGGCTGAGCCTTGATACTGACGCTTCTAGCTGCTGAGACAGTAGAGGAGACGAAAACTGGAAGTGCAGTAGCAGATGAAGCAGCCGATGGCTGGGCCTGGACACTGACGCTATTTGCTACCGATGCAGCAGATATGTGGGCCGTGGTGCTAGCAATCAACGTAGACGAAGCTATAGCGGGGAGCAATGTTGCGTCAGTTGTGCAAACGCCATCGTCTGCCCAATCCCCAGATACTCCTAATTTAAATCACCAAGCTGTGAGGCAATGAGCATCGTGTTCGACAAGCTTTGCTCACCTCCAGGTACGTCTAAGTATAAAGGAATTGAGTATAATAAAATTGTTAGGTATAATGAAATGACACACCTGCCTCAGACCAGTAATTTGCTGTCCACAAGTGACCGCTGAGGTATGCAGATTAGGTTCGATTTTAACCGAACTGGAGATGGTATGCTCACTTATATGTGACCTGTGATCCACCAACATAGGCTACAGTTGATACCCATGCAGACACTCCAGCACAGTCCCCGTTGGTGACAACACTCGTTGTACTGGTGGCACTTGAGGAGGTCGTCTTTGTCGTTGTCGTAGACCCTACGGAAGTCGTTGGAGCACTAGATCCTCCAAGTAGAGCAGTCTTGACCGCTTGATCGTAACGGCCATTTGCTATATCAAAGGTTTTCCATTAAGATTGCAGAGGTCTTCAAGTCATGATACGTACCGTAAGCTTGACTGATATCCCACTATAATGAAACAAGGTACAGCAGTCACATAGAAAGTGAATATAGACCACATACAAGCATTGCGCCACCGAATGACGAATATGTAGCCTTCGTTGTTTGCAGAATTGTACCGAGAGTAGAAGCGTCAACATAACCATTCGAAGCCGCTGTTGACGACGCTGGGGCGCCAATGTAGACTTTGACGTCAGGGTTGGGGGAGGTCGTCTTAGCCCAGTTGTCCCTTTTCCAAAATTTAGTATAAATCTCTTTCAAGACCAGTCTATAAAGCACACACCAATCAGAAAAGTCCCAATCCTGTTTGATTGCGCCATCATATGCATCAGATGATTGAGCTTGAACCAAAGACTCTAACACTTACACCAGCTACGTTGAAGTTTGACACTTCACAAAAGTTGTTGTAGAACTATATCCGCAATAATCACTCTGGTTTCCCCCACTTCCAGTGCTTCACACTCACCTGGACATAGACAGCATCAAATCCAACAGCATTAAGGACCGTGTCAAGATCTAGAAATTGATGTGCCTATTTAGCCGCAGTAAAAGAGACAGACAAGACCATTTGCGCACTGGCATCGGGGAAACTAGCCATTCATCGACTTCAGCTAACATATGGGTAGACACGCGGAAAGTCGACTCACGGGCATTGGGGTGCTCCAGTAATGTAGTATCTATTGTTTATCAAGGAACATGTAGACATGTGTTTCACAGAGCATTACTCACGGTTTGCTGGCACCCTCAGCAAGAGTTCTGATTCTAGTAACGAACGCGGCGAAATTGGCAGTTCCGCCACCTTCGATATCCAAATCGATCCTTCAAAATGATTATCATAAAATCACCACTTTAAGAACAAAACCAAGAGTATCTCACCCATCGAGAACCTAGTAGAATATAACGAGGTTGTGTCTCTATTCTTAGAAAAAAAGAATACTCACAGCGTCACCGAATGGTCGCGTACTCGAAGTCCCTCCCAAGAAAAGATCCCAAATAAGGTCTGCGAAATCCTCTGCTTGAGATTCCGAGGTGAAAGTATCTGCTCCTGTCGCTCCACCCATACTGAGGGTGATGATCTTGCCCGCCGCTTGACATGTTTGAATATCGGTAGCCATGAATTGACAGTTGGCCAAATCGCTTCCAGGAAACACCGCATCGTCTACATCGTTGCAGGTCTAAAATTCACAGCGTTGAGTGGAGCAGAAAGTCAGACATCACATAATTTGGCCCACATTGGCAAGGTTGATTTCTGGCAGACTTCCTATGCCAAAGAACACATCCAAGAACGCCAACGGGAAAATATCGACAACATCGTCCTAGTAGGTGTTGTTAGATCGATACCGAAAAGCACATTGCCGCTTAGCCCACCTGACAGTAGTGGGCCAAGTTTGTCTGCCAGTTGGCAGTGTCAGACGTATGTGTCGCACCGTATGAGTTCTGACCCCAGTAGCTGAAGCAAAAATGAGTGATCCTGATAGACGATCAAACATACGAGCAATAGTTACGCCGCAAGCTGTAGAGGAAGAAGCACGATTCAGCGTGGTCTGATACCAAAGATATATTACACTCACATTGGTATTGCCAGTAGGATTAAAAGCTGCCGAGCTCACCGAAGCTGAGAGCAACAGAGCCACAGAGGTCCAAACCGTAGAGATCATGGTGAGACGTGCACACGGAAGGGAGGGAGTTCCAAACCATTATCGAACAAACAGGACATCCTTTTGTACTCGCAAACTGGCAAGAGACGTCAAATCTACCATGAACATATGAAAAGCGTGCACGTAGGAGAACTGTCCTGAGTCAGGAAAGCTCATGCGGTTGCCAAATCATCGTATAAACTCTGGGAACAAGCGCAGAGAAGCATAAGCATAATCGATATGCTATAGATCGGAAAGGTGGATCTCGCGTGGTGATATGTAAGAATTGAATGTAGAATTCTGCTTCTGGATATCTCAGAAACTGAGAGCGTATTCCTGTCTATACGACCCCGTAGTATCAGGAAGGAAGTTAGAGATGATCCCCATTTTGGATTTATTGAGATGAAGAGCCATTCCTACATTACCCAGCGAAGCATAGAAGAAAAGACAAGATACCGTAACTACGGTGCCCCGGAATGCTTTTCAACGAAAATGGCTAGTAAGATATGTGAGTATGCATCGAATGAGAATAGAAAAAGCGTGCTGACGTTCCGCTGCACCGCAGGGCCCCGTGAACTTGATTATTCTAGTATCAATTTCTCTCCATGTGGACAGAATCTTTACCATTCATTGTGCCACATCGGCGTTGCGAAGATATAGGAAATTGCAATTCGGGATGACCTCTTCTGACGTTCCGAGTTGCATTAGAACCGGTTGATACAACAATCCGCGCATGGTCATGGAAGGACGAGAGTTTGAGCGCGTGAGCCAGAGTGTGGGGATAAAGTTCTGCTGAACTTCATGATAGTTGATTTCAGTTCACTCAAAGGCAGCAGCGTCAGATTCGTAAATGCATAGGTTGGCTATGTACAAATGTCCCCTTGAATGTACAACAAA